CCCCGGGCACCCCGCTGGGCCCAGCCGGCTGCGCCCCTGCCCGGGGCTGGCACCCGGAGGTGGCCACCTGCCCCCAGGGATGTCACCTGTCCCGGTGGGGGGCTCGCTGTGTCCCCCCGTTGCAGCTCGGCCCTATGCCATGGGGTAAACAGGATGGGGATGGGCGCAGGGGACAAGTTTTGGGGCCTGAGCCGGACCCGCAGAGGAGGGAGCGGGATGCCGATGGCAGGACCCACTGCGACCCAGATGGATTCAGGGCACCCCAAAAGGGTCTGGGAGGTCCTGGCTGAGCCTGGGGAGTCCGACCCTCCCAGCTCCCATGGCCTCGCTGCCAAGGCTGCCAGCACAGGGGGCTGCCAGGAGGGAGAAGCCCCAGGAGGTGCCAGGCAGCAACGCCATGGCCACTTAATCACCAAGGCGTCGTGTCCCCATTTCCACTGCCAAAATCCCCGGCTGGCACAGGGCTGGCTGATGGTGGCTGCAACCCTGCGGGGACCCTTGTGGCCCCAGGGGAAACCCATCCCGCTCCAAAGCCCATGGGAAAAGGTGCCAGAGCCTCACCAAAGCCAGGCCCTCGGCTGGCGGCGTCGCAAGCCCGGCTGGCCGAGCCCGGCATGCTGGCGGGCCGCAGGGAAGGGGGATGCTCCAGCTCAGGGACGCCCAAGCGCTCTTCAGGCTGGGGTGGTGGCCCTGGCCTCCCTGGCTGCCTGCCGGGTGCTGTATCGTGGCCACCAGCAGCTCTCTGGGGCAGGGAGCAGTTTGCAGACTTTGCATGTACAACTCCAGGCACCGGCCAGACCGATCCCCAGCCTGATCCCAATCCTGGCCCTGGCTGTGCCACCACAGGGAGCGGGGACTCCACGGTGTGCCTCTCCCTGCGCACTGTACGCATGACGGGGATGTGGCTTGTCCTGTGTCCCTTCGCTGCGGGGTCTCATCCCAGTCTCCCCAGTACTTCAGGGGCTGGTGGTGCAGGAGGGAGATGGGTCCCTGCCCGGGGATCCCAGGTGCTGGATCCTCTCCCACCCATTCCTGGTGTGGCCCTGCTCCCTGCCAGCCCCAGGCCACGGGGCAATGTGGGACACTGTGTGCCTCATCTGGGGACAGGGACAAGGGCCTGGAGAGACCTGGGCCCGCTCACGCCACCAGCACCCGGCCCCAGGGCCCCCCTGAGACCCTCCAGACCCCATCCCAAAACACCACTCCCAGGCTAGGGGGGAAGGGGCTGCTGGGACATGGCCGGGTCCAGCAGGAGGCTGAGAGCCTGCGGCCGGACAGGGCAGTGGGATGGGGCCGTGGGACCGTGGGGACCGTGGGGACTGCGGGGTCCATAGGTTGGGGTGGCACGGGGGGTCCTGGAGCCACCTTGAGCAGAGCTGGAGCCTTGGCTGGGACCACACATGGGGAGGAAATCACACTGATGCCAGAGGATTCCGGGGGGGCATCTCCTCGCCACTGAGCGTCTGAAACCCCAAGCCGTGCCTTGAAATTACAGCTAATTACAGAGCCCATTTGCATAAATTACAAGGCGAGAGGCAAATGCCTCCAATCTCTCCGCAGTGCTCAGGCAGCAGCAGCCGCTTCAGCCGCTCGGGAACGGGGGGCCCGG